CTTCAATGGAGATTGCTTCCACTCCACATTCCAGTGGAGAGTTCACATACCATCAGAAGGTATTCACTCTTCTGAAACATTTTGCAACTTGCCACTAGTCTTCCAACAAATCACTTCTGGGGGAAGCATTAGACCAGATGTTACAGAGTTTGATTAACTGCAAACATGGATTGTACAGTTRCACAACTTAGCTATCACAGTTACCTGGGTTCTGATGCAGTCCAACTACTGTTCAGCATGCTAACTTCATCTCAAATAAAAAATACTGACCATACATGAAACCACTAGAAAAAAACACAGTAGCTGCTCTGATTCTCCAACTACCAAAACCACTTTCACTTCTGCGGCACTGAAGTACCACTCCTAGTAACAGGTCCTCCTATCTCCTATACCTCCCCTCTGGAACTCCACATACATAAACTCACAAGTGTCTGTGGCTCATCCTTGACAGAGACGTGGTGGTACTGTTGTTTTTTTGGGTTTTTTTTGTTTCTTCCTGATATACGAAACATGCTTTAAAGAAACTTTTCTTCACTGCAGACATAAAAAAAAAAAGTGTAGGCACAATTGGTTAGGTTTCAGAAACAGAGACTGTGAGTGGGAAAAATAGGACAAGACTTCAAAAGCTAAGACAACTAATGCAGAGAAGCAAAAAGAAGAAACAGTTGCAGGGATTGTGTTCACAAATTATTTCAGGTTAACTRAAGAGAGGCTAGACAACATACATTAACTGGGCAATAGATAATAAGTTAATTTAAGAAAAAGCTTTCACCATCTAACATCACAAAAAGTTATAGAGTAAGCCATACTAATGGAAATTGTGAAGGACATATTTTCCTGTAATCCAGATTATCTATTGAAATTAGATAATAATAACTGCCATAATTAAAGCAAGTAAGAGTCACTTCAATGTCAACAAATCTTAATGCAAAGAACACATTCTCCTGAGTTTCAATGAAAAAGCGTTTAACTACAGAACCTTGTTTGTCTGTCTTTAGTTATAAAAATAAACTGTTCCCCTGTTCCAGATCTTCAACACTGCCCAAAAATTTAATGATATAAGGTTTCTCACAGCTCTGCAATTAGGGTTACATTGAAAATTATTACATGAATGAGTAACAGTGGCTCACAACATCCTTTTCGCAGAAGACCTGGTCAAGTCATTTAGGCCACCTTCCCATGTTGCAATAGCTGCAGGAAGATACCAAATGATCTAAGAAAGTACAGATTTCCTGAAGAGAATTTCAAGATGGGGAGAAACATGAGATGCTGCTTGTCTGCTACAGGATGCAAACACCAATCCATTAGAAAAGCTAGGCTGTCCTACTCCTGCACTATGGTCTGGCCTTCCTCCCTTGGTCAGGAATGAACTAACCATGTGGACTTACTTGGCAGTCTCTTTTTGTAGTTGYATAGCAGGGATTTCAAATAACATCAAGTCCTTAGATTAGTAATTAAGAGTGCTGACTGGGAGAGTGCACAGTGTGCCTCCTCTTCTTCCTGGTTCACCTCTAAAAAGTTTCTTTAATTCCGCAACAAACATTCATCTAGGGTCTTATAGTGACTTTCACTCTACTGCTTCAGTAGTAAAAACTACTGTTAAAACACAGTCCTTGAAAAAGAAACATCCTGAAGAGCTAGAGGGCCCCCAAATCTTACATTTCAAAAGTTGCTGAATAGGTGGATTTCCAACCTGGTGTTAACTGTCTTCCTCCCCTTCCTTGATGCTAGAACAGAGGAACATGCAGTATRTCAGGAGCTCACAAGAGCACTGCATGAGCAGGCACACATAAAAATAAAAAACTTTTTGACTTGTAGGGTCCAGTGTTTCTTCACACATTCTAAAGCTTGAGAGATGTGAGTTTCAAGCCAAAACCTAGTGCTGCTTTTGAAGGCAACCTCATTCAACTGCTTCACAAAGCAACAGTTCACACCAGCAAACATGGCACTTTCTCCAAATGGCATTTGCCTACTACAAGCAAACTGCCACAACTTCATCAAAATATTACTTCTACGATGTCTGTCTCACTCAGTTGCCTCAAGGATGACAGGCCCTAAGGAAAAAGTGCTACATTAGATGCTCTAAAATACTAAAGCTCTACTACACTCAACTGCTTGAGTTAAACAACTTAGAAAACTCAGTCAATGTGAAAAGAGGTCTCCTATTAATGGCATTCAAGTACAAAAAAACTTCCTTTTTCCCCCTGSTTTACGCAAGAAGAGAAACAGACCATCTTAAATATATCTGTGCAGGAAAACAAAGTTTGCCTTGAAATACGAAGGTGTAGTTACTGTAGATACTCCTTTCATCTCTCTGAACAAGGAGGCTGTCTAAAATATCCCTCTACCTGACCTAGATGCAACAGAACACAGCAGAAGCCTGCCCTAACTCAGCAGGGATTCAGCACACTGACACCACACACTGCACTTGGGTCTGCTTTTGGATTTGTTCTGAGTGGCAGCAAATGCAACCACAAGCTAAACATGAACTTCTGTCACACAGCATATCCCAAGTGATCTGTTTACTAAGAGAGCAATTTTGATTAAAACTCACAACTTGAGCCTAACCTGATGAACACTCTCAAATGTCAGTTAGGTATCTGAAAGTGTCATCTAGGCATTACTTAGAAAAGCCAGTCCACAAAGGATCAGCCTACCCTTTCAGCATGCACCCAAGGACAACAGAGTGCCCGTTTTTATCAGCAAGATATTCTTATCCTTAAGAGCACCTCTCTGTACCTAGCCCTGAGCAGCTACCAGAACTCTGTGGATGACAGGATTGGCACTGTAGCAGTAAGCATCAAGTACTCAAGTACTTCTGTGACTCTTGCACTTCCCACATCCCAGATGATAGGTGGACAACTGTTTATTTTAGTTCTCTATCACAGTTACTAACTGTTAGATCACAGGTTACRGTGCAGTCTTCAGCACACTTCCTTCCTCAGCCACACAAGCAATTTCTTTCTCCTTTTGTAGGCCCTCACCTAGATTCCCATCTGTTTGCCTCTGCTCCAGAAAGGCTCTCAATTAAAAAGACAGTCAGTTGTACTCTGCAAAAACTGGCACAGCACAAAAAGAACTGTCATGGCTCACTTCAGAATTATTTTTGATGAACTGTCCTACAGCAGAGCTTTGGAACAAAACAGCACATTTTTAATTCCACTCAGAAAACTTATCTGATGCATATACATAGCAATAGAAGCATAGGTACAGACAGTAGAAAGACTACTGGGATTTTTCCTCCCCATATAAAAATTCTGGGTTTACATTTTCTTTTGGTCTTTCAACTCTGTTTTGCACATTATTTCACCCCAGGCAGACAGGTGCTCCAAGTATGATCATTTTTGCTGCAAGAAAGATACACTGTTCAATATAAATGCTGTGTAATTCCAAACTCAGTTACTTGGGTACAGATAATAATATAGTTTTACACTACAGTTCTAAGTTAAAGCAAAGTAGTTCATATCACCACAAGATGCATTCCTGAAAACATACAGGTACCAAAGGAACAAAACACCGCATCTAATTAGTTAAAGTTTATTTTTGCAAAGCCTTTAATGTGAATAGTCCAAGYATCCCTCATTATTCAATCAGTTCATTTTTATCTAGAATGAAGTCTATAGGACAGATTTTGAGCAAGAGTAAAAAAATATGCAATGAAGAAAAAAATTATACTCAACTGCACCAAGTTTGGGTTTTTTTCCTCCCAAAAGCTTGTGATTTTAATATAGAAGCAAGTCATCCAAAAGGCAATAATTTGATTAATGTTCARAGCTTTTCATAGAAATAAAAGGCTTTCCAAAGGGGAATACACTTGTTTTTACATGGTTATTCTTTAAGGTAATGTGATTGCTTCATTACCTTTTAATTCATGAAAAAGAAGAGTGTTTCTTGTCTCCTTTTCTTATAACAGTAATTTCAATGTATACWTCACTGTGAAAGAGTACTGAAAAAACTTTGTCATACACTGTCTACACATTTCACATGGGGGTTAGATGTAGCTGTTATATGCAAAAAATTACAGCTATACTAATCAAAACATTTAAATGCAAGAACACAAGCACGACCTGTGTGATTATCAAGCTGGGCATCTCTGACATACCCTCTCTTGGAACTATACTACCTTACTAGAAAAAGACTTTCCTTTTTTGTTTCGTTTATCCTAAGGAGTACAGCCCATGCCTTTAAGATGGAAATGGGAGTAAAAGCATGCTATTCTTTTTCCGCAGAAAACCTTGGTTTCTCATTATCTTTTGTAATCTAGARCCAATGCGAAAACRGTCAGATTTGATTTTATTTTYCCCTCTGCAAACTTTGTTTTCCTTTTACCACTTCTTCACCAAGGGACACAGAAGGGTACAAGGATTTCAGGCTCATTAGACGTTTGGCGCAGGAAGTGTCAGTGAAATTCTTCCATTTGCTTTGACACGGGTGATGGTGGGGTGTTTAGACGAGACGAACATCCCTGTCATTCCCTTTTCATTTTGCGGTAAGTAGGAGAACTCGTAGGCCACGGCGCTGTCTATTTGTCCCACTGCGTGGCCACCCCAGGCACAAGCGCCGGCGGGCTGTCCCGGCCGGCCGCGCCCGGGCTGACCCCCCCGCCTCGCCCCCACACACCGGCCGGAAAGAGCGAGCGGCTCCTCTCCCGCGGCCGGACTAGGTGGGGCTCGGCTCGGACTTCCCGCTGACAACGCCGGCGGTCACCGGGCACCGTCCTCTTCCCCGCCCGCGGCAGGGCCGAGCCGGGCGTCACCCGCCCCACCCCGCGGCCGTCCGGGCCCCACGTCGCGGCCCCGACCCGCGGGGTTACAACTTTCCGCTTCCGCTCCAACTTCTGCTCYGGGGACAGGCGGGCGGGGGGCGGCGGCGAAGGGCAGGGCCGAGCCCTGGGCCCGACCGCCACGGCTGCCCCTCAGCGCCCCGCTCCCCCCCACCACCTCGGGGTCCCACCACGCCTGAGGCCGGACGAGGCGGCGGCTCCCGGTTCCTCTTCCGCCATGTTCCAGGCTGGTGCCCCTTCCCTCACAGCGCGCCGCTCCCCGCCGCCGCCGCCGCCACCCCCCCCTCTCGCCGCCGCCCCCACCCCGCCCCGCCACCTGTACCAGAGACGCCGCGCCGTTCCCCGCCACGGCGGCCCGGCCCGGCCCGGCCCGCGCTGCCCGCCGCTACCCACCGGACAGCGCCTCCGCTCCCCGCCGACCGCCCTCCGCCGCCTCGCCGGCCGATCCCGCTGCGCTGCGCCCGCTGCGCTCCGCTCGGCTCCGCTCGCCGCCTGTGCCGGGGCGCGGCTCGGGGCCGTCGCCGTGACGCCGCACGCCCAGCCTCGCTCTGGCGCGGCGGGGGCGGAGGGAGGGGCGGGCGCAGGGAGGGGTGACCCCGCCGCACCGCCCCCTGCGCACGCGCACCGCCGCCCCGCCCCCCGCGCTGTGGCGGTGAGGGGCGAGCGGGGCAGTGTCAGACCCGTCCCCGAGTTCTGGTACGCTCCAGCGGGGAGCTGTGGGTTAGTTACCGCTCAGAGGTGCGCCGAAAGCACAGAATGGTTGCTTAAAGTTAATTAAGAAAGTAAAGAGCTAGAAACGTAAATGCCAGTGCAGTATTTCTTGCATTTCTAAAAGGGTGTTGAGATCCACTGGTGAAGGGTTTTTCAGAGATGCCACATACTGCTGGTTTTATGTGGATCATTATGTCTCTGAATACGAACTGTGTATCATTAGTCTTGCTGATACAAAGCAGGTTTCCCAATGCCTGCGAATAAATGCAGTATTTCTCAGMTTTTCTGTTATTTGTCCTAAATTATGTAAATCACTTCCCCCCCCCCCCCCCGAGTGCCACTCATATTTTCCAGTTACAAAGGGTTTAGCTGATAAAGATTAAAAATAAATGAGCATTTATGTTTCTAGGAAACACTTAGTAAGCAAATAGTTAATGTGGTGCTTTCAGATAAAACTTGTGCTCAGAGGAAGTCCACGACAGTGTAAAACTGACAGGAAGTTGCAGTGAGGCTTCTGGCGAGGAGAGTGGGTGTGGAGGAAGCAGAGGCTTTCTGTTTGTAGGACAGAGATAGAAAAGGGAGACCAAAGGACTTCGAATCTGCGGGAGATGCTAGAGCTCGGAGCAGGGTCAAAGGGCGACCATTGAAATAAACTACCTTTGGTAGGTGAAGCTTCATCGAGATACAGGGCATCCAGAAAGTGATGAATTTAAGAAATACTTTTCTTTTACAGTGTTACTCCCAAATCCTGAACGTCATAAAATCTCTTCCAAAGTCCAGACAAATCTCTTGGTGTTTTACAGCTTAAACCCTTGTGCAGCTCTTTGATAATGAATTCCTGTAAATGATGGATAATGCAAGAGAGCTCTGGTTGTGAGAAACCAAGACCATAGAAACCAGGCTGTTCTCAGCAAGGCATCCTATGCAGGGCAAAAATCATTAATGAGAGGTGTCAAAATAGGTGAAATACAGCCTCTCAAGTGAAAATCAGAAAAGCATTTCTTTAGCTCATCAGGTAAAAAAAATACTTGCATCCTTGTTGTTTTTTTTTTTATCTCACTAGATATTATTATCAACACCAAGAAGTATTCAGAGGAAAAGAACAAACAAAGATATATCCTCAGCCCTCACAACTTTCTTTAGTGAACAGGATTAATCACAAATGACTTGCAGTATTCCAGGAGCAGATATGTGTCATTAGTATTTTACACTGCGCCTTTAATTGTCCTGTGTTTTATAGGCACTGGGCCAAATCCTTCTCTTTGTTATACATCCTTCTCTAYGCTATATATTAAGAAAAGAGGAAGGAGGCCTGTGGGAGTCTGAGTGAATCTCCCCTGAGCAGATCCTGGTGTTTTGAGTTTCATTTCCAGGGGTATCTAGAACTTAGTATCTTAAAAGAAGTGTATGTACACACATTTACACATATGGCTTGCTTAATATAGACATGTTTGGAGATTGATCACTGTAACTGGAAGAAATAGGTAATTAGGATTCATTCTAAGTGAGAGACCAAGTGTTCCCCTTCCCCAACTCTCAGCCACATACTTTGAACGTATATTGGGCCCTTAATTTTGGATTTTCCCATGAATCATCTAGCTAATCCTCAGCACAATTCTTAAACCAGCTTTACTCATATCAGTGTGACTGGYAAATAACAGTTGGTGTGCTTGTTAAACACACTCACCCAGTACTTCATTGGGCTTGTTCTGCTCAGCTTGCTCAGAGTTTCGTACGTGCCTAATCACTGACGGTCTCTCAAGTAGCTGAACAAGTGCATAGGTTTCCCTGTGATAGAGAAACTCCCCAGAGAACTGGGAATATGAGTGAAGTGAGGGGGATACGGCCACAGTGCTGTTGTGTTGAATAGGAGCAACACAGATGCTTCAGCTTTCCATAGTGGGCCTGCCTGTGCCCAGCATTGATCTGGAATTTTTAAAAGAAGAAGGTCAAATACTCAGCCACCTATTTACTAAACAAAAAGCCAAAGAGACCTTTTTATGCGCAGAAATCTTTACATCAGATAGACCTTTCCCAAGCACTGTAGCACTTATCCTTTGTGCTGTAATTTCTGTCTCCTAATTTACTAGTTGCCTGCATGTACTTCAAAACCCTTCTATTTCAATGACCAGGGCTTAGCTGGAGGTAATTCAGTCTGCTCATCACTAACACAGTTAGCCATCCGATAAGGTCATGGCTCTTGTGAGGAGCAAGCAAAGATAGATCTCCTCTGATGGAAGATGAGGAGAAAAATACTGACAAATCTTATTTCAAAGTCCTGTGGAACTAGGCAGTAAGGTGGGGGGTTGATAGATTATTTGGGGAAAACAAAGAAATATATTTTTAAATTATTCTTTAATAAAAGCRAAGGCAGGGCAGGCTTTGGTCACCTCCATGTAATTTTCCTAACTTTGCCTGCATCATTTTCACTGGAGCTGCATGGGTGTTGGAGTGAAGAATGTGGCACTATGTATCTTGCAGTTTCATTGCTGCTGAAACACAGCCATCTCTGGGACAGAATGCAGGGCTGGCTTGTGCCAGTAAACTCTAAAGTTAAATGTGTATGTGGTGCCAGGGAATACAGTGCTGGCTGCATGCCAGCTAGCTGTGAACTTTTCTAGAAATTTGTCCTGAAGGGAAAAGAAATGTCATTTGATAAACCTAAGAGGATACTCTGCTTTCAGATGGGAAGCAAAGTTCTCATCTTTTAAGGTGAATGGCCTGAAAGGGATCAGTTCTTAGCTTGATGAGTCAGCTGTTCCAGCAAGAGAATGGTTACTAGATCAGAATGTGCTTTGGATCATGAGAACAGTAAAGAGAAAACTTCCTCAACATTAAAGAAAAATGTCTGTTGTTTTTGAGACATAGGTATGTGAGATATTTTTATCATTCTTTATCCTTCAACATGATTTTCCTTTGTTATTTGTCCATACTCAGAAGATTTAGTCATATAGAGTGGGAATACCTGCCTGGATAGAACCTTGAGATGTTTCAGGGATGTGTCTTCCCCTCCAGACTCCATGCAATTTTTGTGTGTCTTTGTATCTGTTGATACAGCTTCAGCCTGAGATTTTTCAACTGATAATTATCAGTTCTACTCATTCTTCATCTTCACTTCTGACATAGCTTCCATTTTGCAGTTCTGCTTCTTAACGCCTCTTCATTGCATCTTCTTAATGTATTTGCTAATCAGAGTTGTTTAAACATTAGTTTAATCACATGCCTGACTGAAACGTAGCATGAAGATTTTTTTCCCAACTTTTTTTTCACTTTTCATACGTTTACCTCATTGTTGAGGAAAATTCTGTCACTTTGCTCCTCTTCCTCCTCCAAACAATCTTGAATTAATGCTTTTTCTTATCTCTAAGGGATGCTTCATGACTCTTCAATTTATCTGCCAAAATCTCTTACTGAATTAACCCTTTTCCTTATCCTTGGCCAAAATCCTATTATTTGTTCATACAATATAGTCTTGCCTTTATCTTGTGGTTTGTCTCCTTCCCTACCTCTTCCCTACCCTACTGCTTTGAGGAGCAAAATTTGCCTTTRTTTTTTTAAGCTGAGGAAGAATGGCAATGGACACTGCTGCAATTTAAGTTGTAAATGTCAGCATTTATTTACAGAGGTTTAATTTTTTAATCTACGTTCTTCTATCTTTGAGAGACTACTTTTGTATCACTGCAGTTACTTCAGATAAAGCAAGGAATAGCTGTTTCTCAACATAGCTGTTGGGAAAGCACAGTACTCTGAATTGCAGAGGGATTCAAGAAAATATCCTGAGCTCTGGAATTTAAGCCCTTAAAAATAAGGATTCATTTGGTAAAAGAAAAGGCCTACTTTATTTTATCCTCTGTTCAAAAGAACTTTCAAATTGCTTTGGACAACCACCTCAACAGATAAAGAACAAGACTGTCACAGCAAGTAAGTGCTTTAAAAGTGTAAATGAAGAATAATGTATCCACTTGGAACTAGAGAAAGGATGTAATTACCTGGAGGAAAATCTGTCCAGGATATGGGTGAATATTTCTCTCAAAAGAAACTGAAAGTCACACACATGTTTTCACAGTTTCAAAGCTTCAGAAGTATTACTTCCCTACTTTTCCAGGAGAACACTTTTAGCAGCATGTGATGCAGGGAATAGGTTACTACTTTCTGAATCACCAGCTCCTGTGATACCTGGATAGTTCTTCAAAATCTTCCATAAAAGGACTGGGTGCAATGGCAGTTAAGTGATTATTATGACTGATCACAGTGTGTCGGTATAAAGTTGTAAGGGAACATTTTCTTAATTTATATTTCTTCATTTATATTTMTATTTCTGCACTATTCCCAAAAATGTCCTTCTTCACCTCATTACCAGATATTTTAGAATAATTGAGCAAAATAGAGAAGCCTGATCAATGACAGCATTGGGTCCATAGTGGTAGTGTTATCAAGTGCAGGGAAAGTGGGTACTGTTCATTTTGCTTTATGAGAATATGAAAGTATAGAAATTTTACTTGTTAAAAACATGTTTATGATTATAACTGAATGTCAGTAACAACATTTTAACTATTGTACCCTTCTTTTGTTATTTGATTTTTTTTCCTTTTTCACTATTACTGGGTTTTAGCATACTTATTTATACCCAGGTTCTGACTCTGCTGGAGCCAGAAGAAAGGTTCCTGTTGATTTTAATGAGCTTTGTACCAGGACCTAAATTCAGCCCTTGAGGGATGTGCAACATTTAGCAATACTTGCATTTAAAATGTATATTCACTTCTGGTTCATGTCAATATTAAGACAGGAACAAGAATATTTGACTACAACAGGTCTAAAAATACTCAGTGTTTTTGTCCTGCTTTCCCAGCAGAACTATATCCTGATTAACACAGCAATTTACACTGACATATAGATGTAAAAGTGACTTTGCTTCTTTTTTGTTTCTGACCACTTCAGAATCAAGCCTTAATTAACACAATGGGCCAAAAGCATTCACAGGAAAATAATTATTTACCTTAGCATTTCATTAGTTTTGGTGCTCAGTTTGGTTAGCTAAACAAAATGTACAGCACAGAAAGGAGAATT